TACGCTACTCACAAAATCAAAGGAGAGTTGAGATCCAAAAGAGAGAAAAAAAACAATGAGAGCAGCAGAAAGCGAGAAAAAAAAATGAGTCTCAGTTGATCGAGACTTGAGATCCGAGGAGAAAAAAAAATTAACCGGTCTCTGATACCATGTCAAAGAACCATATACGAAATTGATTCATTCCACTTATCCAACAGAGTTTACAAAGGCTGAATAAATAGATACAAAGAGAAGCCCTACAAATATACACCAAATCTCTAAGATATCAAAACATATCTCTACCAAAAATATAATATTCACAAAATCACACTAACAAGAACCAATTATAGTTTGTGTAATAAAAAGAGAGACATGTAGAATAAACCTGAAAGTAAAGCAAGAGATAAATTTAACTTTGATATGAGAGTCAAATTGGTAAATGTACATCAAATCATATACATTGTCTAGGAAAACAAACACATCAAAGTAAGAAGGTAGTCTTATCTTGATTAAATCAAAGTTAACAAACATAAATGTAGTCCCATCTCAAATTGAGAAGGTAGTCTTCTCTTCTGTAAATCAAAGCTAACAAATATAAATGTAGTCTCATCTCTACAAACTAATCTTGGACCTAAGGATAAAAATTATCTAATCATGTCTTGCTAAACAAAAGGGAAGAAGATGGCATTTGAAGATGGAAATGAGAGAATTTATGAAAATACTAACAATGTAAAATACATATATACGTAGCAAACTATAAAATAACATTACAGCCACAAATCACAAACAAAGAAGTTGGTGCATTTGAAATCTCACCAAAGGCTTTGATACAGAATATCTCAAGTTTTTTTTTTTAATCGCAAGTGCTTTGTGTTGTGTCATTAGTATATATTCTTATTATGAACATGATTATATTTACTTTTATGATTTACATTATAAATTGTATAATTACTTTTAAATGAATTTTTACTCAAAGCATTTTATGAACATAATTTTGTATTTTTATAAAATTATATTTTATATTTAGAAAATTAAATTCTTATCTACTTTATGCAATTGAATTTTGAATGTGTTGTGCGTTATTGCGGGGTTTGGTACCTGGTAACTCCTGTGTTGTGTGGTGTTACAGAATACAGGAATAAGAAACTTTGCAAAATACTACAAGGTTAGAAGCTTTGCTTGCAACAAATGTCATTTTGCAATTTTACTTCGTTGAAACATATATTTCTATATATACTTTGTTTGGTGGTGCTATTATCTATTTATTGTGCAAAATTCTGTTATATTTATTAATTTTGCTGATATGTAAACTATATGTATCCAATTATTGTGTCGAGTGGTATGTAATTAAGTGAAAATATTATTTATGATGTATTTTAATAAAGCAGCCTATTTTGCCAAAATATCGAATACACATATTAATATAATAACATGCTAAATGCGAGCAACTAAATTCGGCCGGCCGGCCGTGCTGTGCACGGCGATAGCCTCCTAGTTTATTTATAAAACGTACTATTAACCTAATTATATATTTGTATTTGAATGAATGTTATTATTTTTCTCAATTAATTATTATTCTTACAACACGTCAAGTTACATAAAAAAAAAAAGTTATTCAATTATTCATTAAATTACTCTCACCAACCAATTTTTTCTTTTAGCCTCAACGGTCAACTTTGTGCTGACACATGACAGATTCCCCACCATTGGCATCTACCACAGTAGAGAGAGAAAAAACAAAAGAAAAGCAAGCCCAGAACATGCGTAAATTACTAAATTGACAACGAAAGGTAGGTTACTTTAATAAATTGACTGAGTTTAAGAGCATTGAGTAGAAAGAGGAGAGAGGGTAGAAAGGAGAGAGAAAGGGCAAAGAGAAAGAGAAATTCTCGGATCAAGAGAGAGAGTGACCATACAAAAAAAAAAGGAAATAGCTAGCTAAACAGTAATGCCTGCAAAAAAGGGATTTGGATTTAAATAAAAAGAAAACTCAAAACAGGGCATTTAGATATAACATTTGTGTGTATACATTTAGAGAGAGGTTAGAGAGAGAAAGTGTGTGTTTGTGTATGTCTGAAAGGTGTGCAGCAAAGGGGGCAATTAATATTTAATAATAAAGCTACAGAATTTGGTTTATGCTATAGTCAACATCCCTCCCTTTTCCAAAGCTCCTCTTGTCTCCTCTTTCAACAAAATCAAGAACCCTTTTTTTTTTCTCTCTCTCATCACCATCCTTTCTTCTCGCCGGATATTGTTCTACTGTCCGGCCTGCTCACTGTGTTTTTCCGTCGACCCTTTTCGCTATTTGTGCTGAAAGACTACTCTTTTTCCTAATTTCCCTTTTTTCTAGGTTTTTAATAGAAAAACTCCAGTTGAAACTAGTCGGCGACCCTTTTGCGGCCAGTACCCGCCGGCATATTTTCCGGCCAGATGGGATCCCAGTGAGAAAGAAACCGACTCCGTGTGTTCGTTGGAGGTGGGAAAAGAGGAGTCTTGAATGCAATATAAGACTAGATAAAAAGAAAAATAGAGATGAAGACTCCGACCGTAGTCGCCGGAGCTCCGGCGGCTAACGGCGCCGCCGCCGTTGAAGGTAACTCCCTTTCATTTTCTCTTACAAAAGGAGATATATTCTTTCAAATAAGCCTTAAAAACAACTCTTGGTTCTTCCCACATATTCGTTTTCGATCTATTCTTTGTTTTGTGAACAAAGAGATTTTGACTGCAAACAGAACTGTTAATCCAAACAAGCCTTTTGAGCCCTCAGCTCGTGTTTCAATTAAAGCTGAGTTGAGACTTGTGAAAACTCGAAAATATGAATTTTTATGTAATTTTCAATAACTCAGGCTCGTTTATATTCATGAAAGAGCCAAGGCTCGGGCTCGAGCTTTTTTTCTCTTTTTTTTTTTTATATTTATTTGTCGGCTCGAGCTTGTTTACACATCCAAATGTTTGACTCAACTCGTTTACACGTGTGAGGAATGGGTCGTGTGCAGGTGAGAAGAAGAACATAAACGGCGAGCTATGGCAGGCCTGCGCCGGCCCGCTAGTGAACGTGCCGGCCGCCGGGACTCACGTCGTCTACTTTCCGTTAAGACTGTTCGTTTGCAGTCGTGTGGAAAATTTCACTGGTGGGGTCTAACCTGCGCCGCTCGTCCACCCATCCATTTTCTTTTTCTTTTTTATGTCCGTTGGGCTGACTGTGCCATATATTGTCACATCACATGCAGCAGGGATTTCACAATATATGGTCTTCATTACTGTAATCGAACCGAACTTGGGTTGTTCGAGCTCGAGTTCGATTAATATTCGAGCTTGTTCGAGTTCGTTCGTTTATTAGTCGAGCCTAAATTTTTGTTCGTTTTCGTTCATTTAGTGGTTCGTTCGTGTTCGGCTCGTTTAGCTAATCAAAATTATTTGAACTTTTCGAGCGTTCGATTAGCTCGAATTATCAAAACTTTCAGAAATTTTACCAAATTAAAAACCTATCAAGGCAAAGAAATTAAGAGAATTTTAGATATCAATGAATCAAAACAAGAATATTCACTCATTTGGGGAATTTAGCAGGCAACAGCTTTTGTTTATCGACTAATTAGGGGTTTTGATAAATAAACATTTTGAGAAAATAATTAAGAAAAACCAGCCCTTCAGGGAAAATTAGCCCTCTTTAAGAAGAAATTAAGAAAAAAATTTGGCATGCAAAGAAAAATACAGAAGCAAAAAATCGAGGGAAATTCAAGGAAATTAGCCCAAATTAAACTTATAATTAGTGGCGGGATGCGTGTGGTCTTCAGCGGAGCAGCGTCCGGGGATTCATGATGTAAGGAGGAAGAAGCAGATCTTCGTCAAACTAGAAACAATCCGCAAGTTGCAGCTCCCGTGAACAACTTGAGGCCTTGAGTTGAAGGCGAGGGTGGAGCAGATCCCGAGACTTGAGTTGGAAGCTTGACTGCTTGAGGGCGAGCGTGGAGCAGATCGCCGGAAAACTACTCGAGGACGACGAGGGGGTCGGGTGGGCGCGGCGATGGAGATTTTGGCGAGGGAGATATTTAAGATTTACACTTTAGGGTTTATTTGGGAAATGAGTAATGAGTTGGACCGAGAGGTGAAGAGAAAGTGCTTATTTACTTAATTATTATTATTATTATTATTATTAAAAATCTTGTAGTTCGCGAACACTCGTTTATGTTCGCGAACGTGTTCGTGTTCGTTCGAATAATAAACGAGCTGAATTAAATGTTCAAGCTCGGCTCGATTGTTAAACGAACGAGCCCTAAACGAACACGAACGAGCTCGAACGAGCTTTCGTTCGCGAACGTTCGGTTCGTTTGCAGCACTATTACAAATTACAACATGTCCAAAATAACCCTAGATTTACTGTGTTGTTGTTTCTTATTATTATTATTATTATTATTATTATTATTATTATTATTATGTCCATGCCGTTTTGAGCTGGGGAATTGGAATTATTGATTCGGGTATGACGTGAGGTGTGAGTTGGAGTTTGTTCGCAAAAACAGGAGATTGAATATAAAAAAAAGTGATGGTACATTATTGGAGTGTGACGTGTGCACTTAATCAAGGGCACTTTATTTCTTATTATTTCAAATGACACAAGTTGAGATGTACTTGTAACCGTATTGATGATGTAGAATTATGGGGTAACAAACCATTTCAAATCACAAACTTTGCTTACCAACGAGCCAAACATTAGATGAGTACCATCTATTATATTTCTGAAGCTTGTGTGCATTTTAAATTTATGAAATTTTATTGTCAAAATACGTTAATATGTAGAATAAATATGTCAATACCAACTCAGACTCGACTGTCTAAAAGAAAAGACCTTACTTGTTACATGACTTATTCAGCTTTGGTTTGTTAGGTTGGCCTAAGCGTTAGGCCGACATACTTTTCTCACAGCTATGCATACTTTCATTAGAAAATCATACTTTAAAAATCAATATAAGTTTAAGTATGACATTTGATAGTATAAGTATACATTTTTTTTCACATGGTATGACGGGTCGACCAGCCTAAATGTTAGACGGCGTCACACAAGGATTCATTCTTTTCGGAATATTTATTCTGTTTGGACCCAATGCACAAAAAACTGTATATCCTATTAATGCACCTGCAAATGTAAAAATTTAGACTTCTAAACTTTGGTAAACACTGTTTTAGGAGAAAACATTTTTCGCATCTTGTACTATGCACGTTTTTTGGATTTTCTCACTTCACGTAAAAGGTTGATTGTTTGTTTACTATGTGTTCATTGTGCTAAAACTAATTAGGCAAAATTTTCATGTACAGGTTGCTGCATCCATGAAAAAGGATGTCGATGTTCAAATCCCCAACTACCCAAACCTCCCTTCAAAATTACTGTGCCTCCTCCATAATGTCACTTTGCACGTATGCGTAGTTTTTAATTTTAATGCCTCCTTTCGTATCATCACAACTTTGTTATCCTTTACAACTTCTTGTGTGCTCGTCAAATGACAAACCAAAACTCATTTCATGTGGCATCATTTAGGGTGATCCAGAAACTGACGAAGTATATGCTCAGATGACTCTGCAACCTGTTCCTTCGGTGGGTTTCATATAATAAAATAAAATGAAACAAACGTGTGTAATACAATAAAGGCTTCATTTTGTCGACAAAAATCAATGGACATTTACTGTTTTTGGTTTGCAGTTTGACAAGGAAGCTTTACTGAGATCAGATTTATCGATGAAAGCACACAGGCCGCAAACTGAGTTTTTCTGTAAAACCTTGACCGCAAGTGACACTAGCACGCATGGTGGTTTTTGCGTGCCACGTCGTGCTGCAGAGAAGATTTTCCCTACTCTGGTTAGTGTAGCAAAGTTTTTTTT